GACAGATCTTGCACCGCCATAAATCAGCCCGCTTAACTAGCTTTTCCCCCATTCAAAACCTTTTTCTGAATGACATTATCTGTTCCGGTAAGACTGTCATGTGGGGAATACAGTCTTCACACACTATTTTGTTAGGGGCTTTAAGACAGCATCCCAGAGCAAGCGATACCATACCCTTCAGGAAGGGGTGTGATGCATCTCACTGCGCAAAAGAGCAGTCGCAAATGGACCTGACTTTGGCTCTGGGGATCAGAACAGACTCTTCCTGCTCATCCCAGGTAAAGCCAGGAGTAAATTTATGCCCTTGCCAGGCGTGACACGCTGCAGAACCGCAGTGGAAAGAGAACAAACTCCCAGGGGTTGGCTGCTAACGTCAGTGGCACCGGTGCAAATGAGAGCAGCCTCCCGCCCAGGCAGCTTCTTCCAGGAGCGTGGGAGCCTGGCGAGTCAATGGCATGGGCAGAAAAATCATGCCCTCATTAGTCCCTAATGAGAAGGAAAGGAAAACAATGTTCCTTTTTAAGCCAGTCTTGGATGAGGACCTTCCTCTGGACAGATGACATGGTTTACCTTCGGTAGCTTGCTTCCCTATTGTTTCTACCTCGTTCCTTTGCTCCCGATCGGACCACGCTCCTTAATGCTGCCGCTTGCTCCGCGCTCCCACTCGTTACTCATCTGGCACCGAGCAGCGAGTGCCTGTCTGCGGCACATGCGTGGGTCCCTGACTCACTAACTCTGAGCACGATTGCGCCGTGGGGTGGGTGTGGGGTGTGGGGAGCACATCTGAGCCCCACAGATGAAGGCACTGGAGGCACCAGCCCAGAGCAAGGTCTGCCCTGTCACGTATAGCAAATTATGGCCCGTTTCATGGCACCCAGAGCCACCCTTCCCCATCGGCTGCTGCTGCAGCTGGAAGAAAACCCTGTCTGGTTGTGCACGCACAGATGAGTCTCATCTTCCATGTATTTTGTCTGCTAGGGAGAATTGGTACCTGCGCACCATAGCTGCTTGATTGCAGGACCCACTGTGGGCTGTAATTTGGCCTAATTGTGCCCTTCCTTCCCTCTGTGGTGTGAGCGTTGTTTGTATAAGATAAATGCGATCCGTGGCGTGTTTTTACGTGCATGGTGCAGAGTGACTGAGCCTACTTTTTCTCCTGTGGGACTTTGAACTTTTTTCAATGAGCAGCTCTTATTTCAATAACTGTAGTTCTTGTTAATAAAACCTTTAATCAAGTAATGAGGGAGTGTGGCTGGCGTGGTCTCCGAATACAGCCCCTCTTTCCACGTCTGGCACTTGTTCACTGGGGAAGCGTGGCGGCAGCATTTCATCTTGCTGTGCTTCTACTCCTGCCTAATGAATGTGGAGATAATGAAACTAATGAAACCGCCTTCGTGGCAATGCATTTGAGATCCACTGATGAGAATTACCAGATAAAAGGGAGGTGCTTTTTATCATCTCCCAGTAATGAGAACAACTCATGTATGAAACTTTCTGCTTGAAGTTGTAGCTCGGTCGCGTCTTGAAGCCCTGCAACAAAGTCAATTTTACTCTCTCTGAGTAGCATGTGAGGAACCGGCTGCCATGCTGGTGTCCATTCTGGGGATTAAACGCCTTTCAATAAACCAAGGATAATTTCGCGTGGTGTTATTAAACCAGAATTTTATGGGCCGTAACCTGCCATCATTTTGTATGTGGAGCTCCTGCTGGGTTTGTCAGGCCATCCATGCCCGGAGTGAGGGTGCAGGGCGAAAGGCCTCTGGCTCTCCTCTGCTCACTTCTCTGACCTTCCTCTGGGAAATGAGATGTCTCAGAGAAAAGCAGCCACGCAGCCTGACTGCTACATGTGCTAGAAGGGTGTATGTAGTTATGCCATATATGCAATATAAAAAAAGAAAATATTTAAAATATTGCTGGATTTATTGGACACATTGACAGCCTTAGCAATTTTCCTTGGGAACAAATACCACTTCTCTGTCACCTCTCCAATATCTCTCTCTCACGCTAGACTGGATTATGCATCAGGGGTGCCGCCTTGTGCAGAACTTGCTTGTAGAACCACAGGAACGCAGTTATGAACATAGACCGGTGTTCCCAATGCTTCTCAGCTTACAACAAAAACCGTTGCTGAGGATCCATGGGCTCTGTAAAAGAAAGTCAGTATTTAAAAAAGGTAAGTTTTCTCTACTGAATGTTTTGGTAATGTTTTTGCATCACCGCCACTGCTCCCACCAGAATTAGGGATGGCCAGACATCTGGCTACTTTACACAAAAAACGAAGGTATAGAAAATCTGCACTTCAAGTATAGGTTCAGCATCGCTTCAGGCCGGCCCCGAGAAGCTGCTGCTCTGTTCTTCTGCATTCCCAGCCATGCATCGCTGCCCCTGAGGCTGCCGAATGAAGAACTCCACCGCGCAGCAGCCAACAAGGTCATTCGTTTACTCTTGTGTGGTGCAGTTATTAGATCTTAATGTTCTCCTCCTCTTTGCTAACCCTCGTTCTAGCAATATTGAAAGAAAGTTCTCACCGTGAGTTTAGTGGTTTTGGACACTTTTGTAAGAGGAGGATGAACAAATTTGCGGGGTTGAGTTTTTAGTGCATTTCTGTCATAAGCCAAACCCACCCCTTCTAGTCCCTGATTTTAATTGATTCAGCTAATTGTTTGAACAGGTCATTCAATCAAAAGATGCAATATGAATTCTTCTGTCAAGATGAAAGTCTGTAATGAAAAGCTAATGATTCTCATCAGTTGTCTGGCTTCTCCGATGCTTTGTCCTGATACAGGCTGGTCACAAGGAGAAAGAAGTCTGGGATCAAAACCAAAGTATTTTGCCTTTTCCAAAAGAAGCCGTATTAGCATTTTGCGTTGGTCAGGTGGATTGGTTTCACACCCGAAGTGTGTGTCTGCTGACTTCAGTTCCCAGTTTGCGACCAACTTGCTTGTACAACCTCTTTTTTGCACTGAATGCTGTCTATAGAAATAGATTAATAATATTTATTTAGTGTCCGGAGGAATCCCCATCCTCTTTCCTGAAAGTTCTTGGCTCTTTCCTTTATGCCATACTTTTTGCCCTTAATAAAAGAGAAAAAGGCGATGGCTGGCACCATTTCAATTGGTGCCTCTCTCCTTGGTGCAGCGGTGGTCCCCTCCCCGTGCGGGTCCCAGGTGCTGCCCAGGAGCAGGGCTGTGGGTGCCGGGACCCCCAGCCTGGCAGAGATAACCCCTGCTCCATCAGCCGGGCATCGGGCTGAGAGCCCGCCTTTATTGACACAGGCGTTGCAGACTGAGGCCAAGAACGGCCACTCTTAGCATTAAAATATGAATGCCAGAAAATGCCTTTTTTTTTTTCCTTCTGCAGAAAGAGTTGGGTTCTTTTCAGATTGTTATTTTTCACCCACGGGAACTGCATTACCTCCTCTAAACACAGAAAGGAAACGTTCTACACGCCAGATCTTACCTTCATATGCAGTTTTTAACATCCTCATGTACTAGTGAAAAATGTCTTTTAATTAGGATGGAGATGTTTGCAAAGCAATGTGAAAAGGAATGGAGGCAGGTTCATTTGGAGCTGCTGTGCGCGATAACTCTGTGTGTGTAGGGCTCAATATAACCTTCAAAAGCTGCTCTGCAGCAGCAGAGGGATATTCTCCAAGCACAAAGGGAGCCTAATTTCTTTTACAGAGCAGCAATCAATAGGTGCCAGAGGTCAAGCAAAAAACTGACGTGCTTTTAAAATTTTTCTTTCTAAATGAATAATGTGTGTAAGATCAGCAGTGACAAATGAAGTGGGGCTGGTAACATCCCCCCATGCTGGGAGAGCTCTCGTCCCACGGGAGCCAGTGCCAGCTTCGCCATCACACCCCGCATCCGGAGCCTCTCTGTCCTACATGGCAAACCACTGCATCCCACGGCACGTGGGGGGCTGCCGGTCCCTTCGCAGAGCGGTGGGGACAAGCCAGCACACCACGGCCTTGGGAAGTTTTTAAAATACTTGCTTTGCTTCCTCCTTCCTTTTATTACAATGCGGAGCAGCAAGTTTCTCTCTCTGAACACTGTGTTAATTTTTTTATCTGTACTTCAGGATGTTTAAGTGGCACTGTTGCTGGTAAAGCCACCTTAGAAGCCAGTGTGATTCAGATGTATTTCGCAGATGAGACACATCCCTTCGCTGCTTGTCCAAAAGCTCGTGCACTTGATGGAAATCTGAGAGGATAAGTGACTTGACCGAGGCCAACCGGCAAGCCAGCACCCGTGGCCTGAACACTCGATAGAGCTCCTGTTGTTCACGCTGCTTGTCCCCGGGCTTTGCTTGTTCCCTCCTGCTCTTCAGCAGCTGAGGACTCGTTTCTATTCTCTACACCCTTATTAGACTCTCCCAACCTAGTCCCCTTTTCAGAGCAATTTTCTCTCGCAGAGTCATTTCCATTCGCCGCAGGTCATTGTGCTACCGCAACGGAGCGGTCTGGAAGGGTTTATTGCCTTTTGTTCAGGCTGGGTGATTTTGGAGCAAATTGGGTGCTTAACACGGCTGGTTGAAAAGCAGGATTAAAATGTGCTGGCAAAAGGATCGTTCTGCATAAAACCGAGAACCCGAGAAGCTGGTGAAGCAGAAATGCATCCGGGCGGGAGGACAGCATCCTGCAGAAACTGGCGGGGCGGGTGGGCTTCAGGATCCAGGCTTTGCCCAACAGATTCAGCTGAAAGGTATGATTCTTCTGTCCCTACTCCCCCTGCCTGAAGACACCTCTTTGTATCAGGCCATTTTAAGGCAATTTATGTTTAACATCAAAAATACCTAGGTTTTATCTGTAGAATCATAGAATCATAGGTTGGAAAAGACCTCTAAGATCATTGAGTCCAACCATCCACCCAACACTACCATTCCTACTAAACCATATACTGAAGTGCCACATCTAGTGTAGAGGGCGAGCAGGGAAAATAATTGGACTTTTTACCAAGGTTCAGGTCAAGGGATACTCTCAACAGCAAGAAACCCACCTGCTCGCTTGCTATAGCTTGGGGGTTGGTGTCACTAGGGATGGACATACGGGTCGCCCCTCTCCTTCCCCCATTCCGGTCTCCGCAGGCATAACTCTGAAATGCTCCTAAGCCAGACTCGCATGAGTCAGCAGGACAGGCTGCGCTGGAGCTCCTCCTCCCAAAAATTTCAGCTTCTGCTTGATGAATTAAACATGTCCGAGCGCTCGTTTCAGCAGCATGCTCTCCACTAGGCTGCTTTCGAGGCTTTTTTTATGTCCCACCTTCAGAAAACTAGACAGCAACTGGGAAAGCCTGGATGTGCAGTTTGTGAACGTGGAAGTTACAGGGAAACGCTGATTGCAGAGGAAAGGCAGCTGCGTGCAGAGGTGTGCTGGGGGGGGGGAAAATGCTTCAGTTCCTGATAACAGAGGGGTTTTTCTATATTTCGTCCTTAAGAAACTGTGAAAAACTCCTGAGCTGAACAGCTGAGTGGTGCAGCTGCACATCTTAAAGACATCTGTGAATCAGGAGGCAGGGAGAAGAGAGGTGTGGAGGATGTTCCGGATGATAATGGATGTCTAAGTGATCATGGGCTTGAAGCATAATTAATGTTAATGGATAGCATTTATATATAATGCAAAGAACATGTTCTGAAAGACAGATACAAAAATAGATTTTTTTTTTTTAAGACATGAAGTTTTAAACTCTGAGGACTAGACATCAGAGCTACTATGCAGCTATTTTATGCATTTTATCTACAGAAAAACCTTGTTCTTTAGAAGCTTGTGGGGACTGGGAAATGTGTGGCCTAATTTTTTTCACATCCTGACAAACGAGGGATGCTGCACTTACCTGGCAGTGTCATGAGGCTGCTATGGCTAAAATCTTTAATTTTTTTATGCATTGAAATCCAGCAACAAAAAATGATCAGAGCCAGAATAAGAAGAATAACAATGCAGAGGAGTTCTGTAGAGGGTACGAATTGTTAGGGAGGAGGTAGTAACCAACAGCTGTGAGGAGGGGACCAGTAGAATGAGCTTGCGTAGCTGCAAGTACTCATCGGTCCGTGCCCTTCTGGCAGTGCTGGTTGTGCCGCTTTCCCTAAGCGCGATCCCCTGAGGATTCAGACTGCGGAAGGATCAAGGGAGAGGAGCCTTCCCTCCGGCTCAGGTGGCAGCTGGGGATGCCCTTGGGGCTGGAAATCTCTGATGCAGCACTAGCCGTGATGCATTACAGCGGTCGTTAGACTGGAAACACATTTTTCCCATGCGCAGTGATGTTAGAACTCTCTGGCGTGATGGTGTGGTAGCTGCCGTACCACCGCCCTTGCTGGCCAGGTCTCGCCAGATATTTATAGGTATGGAATAATTCTTCTCTGGTAACCAGACATGGAGAGAACGATCTGTGTGTCTGTGTCATGAAATACTTTCAGCCAGACTGCACAAATACTTATTACTTCCCTTGATTTGTTTTCCTTAGGTATAAACTTATTAATGCTCACTGCATATTTTCCATCGTATATTTCCTGGCTACCAGCTTTCCAGAAGTATTTACCATCTGTATGGCAGACTATTTTCCTCCTATGGCAAACATTTCATTGCATTAAATTTTGCTGTTTAATGTGTAGAGCTAATGATTTTTGTAAAAGAAAAATGGGCATAAAGCTTTATGAGAATATTATGAGGAAAAGGCGCTTTTTTGTTGTTGTATTGAATTCTTCGGAAGTTAAATTTCCTATAATTTTACAAAAAACGAACTCAGGTGCTGATCGTCTGTACCCTTGCTCAAGGGACAGCGTGCTAGCAAGCCAGGGTTCCTATTTATTTATGGAAGGAATAGGGCTGAAGAGATTTTGTTTTTTAAAAATTGAAAAACGGGTACTGAGCACTGGTCTCTCATGCACACAATGTGCCCGAAAGAGCTTTTATCACTATGCTATTGCATTGCAGACCCCGGGATTGCGTTTCTTCCTCCCTGCCTCAGACAGCCCCACTGGGGAAAAGGCACGCACTACGAGGCACAGAGCCTTCCAAACACAGAGGAAGATCACGCTGGATCGGTGAGCTGCTATTAATATGTATGGAAATTAGTGTGTGAGTCAAATAATTAAAGGCTAAAGCAGTCCAGGAAAAGCAGGGGATACAAACAACAATGAAGATCTTTATTTCTGGTGGCTGAATCAGACTCCTCAGAACTTCCGCCTTTCTCTTGATGGTTCCCATCGGGTTTCTGACCATTAACATTTTACAGTCCCCTTCTGCAATGACCCTAAAGACCAAAGCTTGAGATGGGATTAATAATAGTTCAGATTTAGCACCAGCTGCATTAGATGACTTCAGTTTTGCAGAGCAAATGCTAATGAAGTCCTTGGACCTGGCAACATTAATGGCATACCTTCCTTGATGTGAGCAGGACTAGAATTACCTTCAGCATTAGAGTGGGTGATTGATCCCTAAAGGCTGGAGCATGGAAAGCTGTTGGGTAGCTGTCAAGGAAAATGCCGAAAGCCACAAGCTTCGCAGCAGTCCTACATCTTGGAGTCCCCCAAGGAGCAAAAATCTCTTGCACTGCATCTAAGAGTAGCTTGCTCCAACCGTGCTCCTGAAACAGGGCTGTGATGAAAAAGTATGAGCGAAACCTCACTTCCAGAGGGTGGTATTAGCCCAAATGTGTTCCTCTTTCTCTCTTTTTCTTTTCTCCCAGACACAGCCTGTCCTTACTCCTGGCATGTCTCTTTGGTTCTGTGTCAGCGAGGCTCCGGCAACAATCCCAAAATCCGGAGGAAGAGCTATAAATCAGCAATACTTTCCGGGGCACTCTCCGACACACCCCGAGCGAGTGACGTGGCCGTGTACCAACCCCAGGCATCGAAACGGCCGTGGGACACAGGGACCTCTGCTCTGCAGAAGCCGAACGGAGCACACAGCAGCGCGGCGAGCCGGGGGGATGCGATGGGGCCCGCACAGCCCCCGCAGGTTGGCAAGGCTCTGCTCTACGCTTTCTCCTCCGCGTATGGGGTGTTACCGAAGGGGAAGCTTGTGTCCCAGTTTCTGCCTCTCGGTTTCTTTTCAGTGCGTGTCTGCTTGCAGGAAAGGGGCAGATATTTCTGTTTTACCTCTCTGAAACGTCAGTGATGCTCCTTGTACAGCGACCATTTTCTTTTCTTCTGCTTCTATACTATGCCATAGTGCTGGGACACATTAGCACTAAAATGTCTTGCCTTCTTTCCTGCCTCCCTGTAAGAAACTCGCCTCTGTTTATCACCACTATTTTTGCTAACCCTGACACTTTCTTTCTCTCCTACCTTTATAGTGATGCTCAGAGCTCGGGGGACCTTTATGGTCCATCACGTCGCAGCAGGGAGACCTGCACAAACTCCCTAGCAGAGGCTGCCCCTTTGCAGTGGGGGCATTTAACTAAAATACCAAGTTGCACATAATTTCTGGGTCTGTTTCTTAGCGTTGCTGGTGCCCACTGACACTAGCTACTCCTGGTACTTGCCTCCTTTTGTAGCATTTCTCATTACCATGTCTCAGAGAGGCTTAAAAGGAGGGTCACTATCTTTAAGCCTCTACCACAGCCACAGAGATGGAGCTAAGAGAAGAATGAAAATTAGGAGAGAAATGGGCCTTAAGAGTCTTGCGCCCTGCCCATTAGGAAGCACTTCCATCTGTTTCACGGGGAATCGGCCATAGATATTGAACCAGATGAGCTGTTCAGATTTCCTTTGTCAGTGCTGGCATACTTACAGCACTTTGCTGGCACGTTGCTTGGGAATTACAGGCAGATCTTCTCCAACATAGTGGGAACAGGCGCATCACATGCTACATACTCCTGTCTAGAGGTTGTTGGCAAACCACAACTTGTAGTCAATCAAAGCAGGATTTTATAACCGCTTCTACCCCCACCCCATTCTCACATCCCTTATTTTCATCCTTGCTCTTCAAAGCAGGATGATTCACATGTTACAGTAACCTACATTTGGCTTGGCACTGCTTATGGGCTATATATAGATGACAGAGTCACCCTGTTCTTCCTCGTGGATTGATTTTGCTTTTCTGCAGACGTGGAGCAGTACTGGGTGCCCCGTGGGCTCGGAGAGGAGTTGGGAGGTTGAAGGAGATGTCCAGCATCATGTTTTTTATCTGGGTCTTCTCCAGGGTTAAGGTGGCTGCTAAGATCGACTGGGTGCCTTTGGTGGCTGTAGAAGCAGTCCGCATTTTAGAAAACCCCAAGTGCTCTCCTTCCAGCAGCCGTCTCTCTCCGAGCTGTTTCAAATTAAGAGCATAAAAATAAAGACAAATGAAATCACAGTCATTCTGCGGTAGATAGCAGGCAGTCTGTTCCCACCGGAGGATGCTGGTGGCTTGCGTGTTTCTGTGGGCGTAATGGCTCTGCTGTTATCTTTTGCACCTCTAGAACCAGACTATCCACAAAAGTGCGTCTTTTTTCTTTTTTTTTCCTTTTTTAAAGCAAATTGGCTCATTTCCTCTTTTCATCTGAAACTGCAGGAGCCTCCATTGTTTCAGCCACCGTCCGTTGGGAATTACTGCCCTGTGCGCCCCGAGCCTCATGCCCGCGTAGAAAATGACCCCACCTGCAGCACGGCAGAGGCACAGAGCCCAGCTGGTCTCCCCCTTCTCCCCCAGAAACAGACTCGCTGCCCGATGCTCAGCATCCGGGGAGATGGCAGCTGTGTGCTGCTAAACCAGCTTTATTGACGCCCGGTGCGATTAGCCAAGGGCCTGCCTGGCTCCCGGACATCGCTTATCCCCAGCCTCTCCCGCAGATCCTCATCAAGGCTCCGTGGCCGCGGGGACCGAGGCGAGGAGCGCAGGTGCTCCCCGGCCCCTCCGCCTGCTCGGCGATCGATACGGCATTGCAGGGAGGGTCTTGACGAGAAAGCTATCGGTAAAAGCAATGTTTCACTAATGGCAAGCACGGTATCCGCCGAGATCTTCAAGGGGAATTCAACCTCTGGCTTTTAGCTGGGTGATATTAATTTCAGATATGGGGAAAAGACAGGATGAGATATGTATGTACGGACGGTATCTATTGGATTTTTC